GAGCGGCTGCATCTCCTGCCACTCACGGCGCTCGCCCCGCGGACGGTGCCGCAGCGAGAGGACACGGTGCTTCACAGCAGAACGGGGTTCAGGAGGGCAAAGCAAAATTGCTTCCTGGGAATAAAAGAGGGTCCTTTAATTCCTGTTATATAAAGACATATTAAAGGCTCTCTTGTCCTAGTTGCTTAAGAAACGTGGTCGCTTTCCTCCATCTCCTGCTCCGTGCTCCTGCAAGAGCCCTTTGAGGAGGCCCGTTTGTGCTTGACCTCCATTTTCCCGGGCAATTAAGCAGCTTCATTTGGGGCCATTTAGTGAGTGGTGGAGGAGGGAGGTGTCATGGGGGGCACCCATCCTCTGCTCCTGCCCCGCTCGCTCTGGCTCCTGCTGATGGTTTAATTTTCCCCGGGGCTGGGAGGGGAGAAGAAAAGCACCGGATAATTGTAGCCGAATGGGATGATAAGTAATGTTTGGTATCCTTTTTACAACCATTCCCCAGGGGCCCATTATGGTAATTTTTCTTCTATAACTGGCAAATTGTATAACAAGTCAGATGATAAACTAGCAAGCCAGGCAGAAATTTGCATTTTAATACAACTGTCTAAATCATTTCTCCCCGTACAGGGCTGGACAGGAGAGCGGCGCCGGCTCCGTCGGCCGGCAAGCGCTCGGGGCCGGGATTCACGGCCACCTCCGGCACGCAGGGAGACAGCGGGAAGCGCCGGTGAGTTTTGCCTTCCTTCCTTTGCCATTCCCAGCATGAGATCCCTGCGGGAAGGTTTTCTGGGAATGTCCGTGTGCCCTAAGCGAGCGGGACAGGCTGCACGGCTGGAGATGGGCACTTTGCTCCCGCTTGGGTTATTCCCACATGCACGGGTTGGGACTGGAGGAGAAAACCCCACTCTGGGGAAAAACAGCCTAAAGAGGCAGCGAAAGGCTGGGTTGGGGCCACAGGACTCCTGGGCCCACGGGCAGCACTGCCCCGTCCCCAGCCCTGTTAGCACCCAGGCCAGGGGCTGTTAGAGATTCACTCATCAAAAACCGGACAGCGAAATGTCTTGGCAGGTTTATAAATAGCAGCTTTAAAGGCAATTGGAGGTTTTGGTTAAAAAGCAGAAGCTCTCGGGATGCCCTTCCCGCCTGGGACTGCAGCCTCCCGCGGTGCAGCAGGACCAGGGCCCTGAGCAGCCTCTGCTCCCAATGTGGGGCCTCATTCGCACCCAAACCAGAAACCCGCTACCGCCTTAACGAGGCAAAGAGCGTCCAAATTCAGTGATTTTCTTGTCTTGTCGAAGTCCATTTTTTAAGCAGGCCGCTGCCAAGAGGGGTGTAAGCACAGCCCCCCTCCCTGAGGGCTCTTCCCTGGAATTCCCACCGCCTCCATCTGGCTCATTCCCTCCCCATCCCACTGCTGCCCTGGATCTTGCTCCCAGTCCAGCACAGATCCCGACGGATTCTCCCAGCGAGGCAGCCACGCGGCTCCCTCCCCGGCCAGGCTTCCCGCGGGAGCCGAATCCACAATCACAGCGGCAGCGCCAGCAGCGCCGCGGGAAAGGAAGGAGCTGAATAGATTCCGTGTTGCAGTTTTGTACAATGAGAAATATGTTCTTGAACAAAGCCTCTGCAAGCGGCGCTTTCCCGGGGGAGAGACGAGCGCGGGGCTGCTGCAGGGGCTGGATTAAACCTGCGCGTGCCGAGAAACCGCTCGGAGCGCCGGGAGCCACCGGAGGAGCCGCTGCTCCCCGCAACCCCAGGCCCCCAGCAAGGGGGTCCCAGCGCTGAGGGAGTCCCGGACCAGGGAGATCCCAGATCCAGGGGGCCCTAGTCCTGGGGGAATCCAAATCCTTAGGGGTATCTCAGTCCTTGGAGGGTCTGGAAGGGTCCAGGCCATTGGGGGTGTCCCAGCATAAGGAGGCCCCAGGCCAGGAGAGATCCCGGTGCTGTTGCTTCCCTCTCCCATCCCCATTCCGGAGCCAATCTCAGCCCGGGAGCCGACGCTCAGAAGGGCAGCGCAGCCCCTGCAGCCAGGGAATGAACGGGTTTTAGTGCCACCGACTTGTCCCCTTGGGTCACGGGTTCTGTGTGACGGAGTTGGTGCCGGTAGAAGAGATGCAGCCTGCGCAGCACCGGGGGCCTCTGCGCACGGATCTCCCTGCCCCCCAGGAAAGCCAGGAAAAAAGCATGGAAGAGCAGGCAGCAGCGCATCGGGAAACCTCAACGTGAGCGTCCCAGAGATATAATTTACCTGCCAGCTGCCGGCACGGCGCACACCCCTGGAAAAGCGCCGGCACGAGGGTCTTTTCCAGAAAGAGGAGCCTGGAGTGGCTGGGGGG